TCTCTTCCCGAGTCTCAGCCGCTACCTTGGTTCGGGGACGACAGGAAAAAGAAGAAATGAGCAAATGGAGGATGAGCAAGGAGGATGCCTCATTCAAGAGCTCATCTGATGTGGAAGATGGTTTCCTCGCATGAATGATTTTTTATATGTGGAATCCGAATGAATGATCCTTTTCTATCGGCACACCAGCACGATGTGTGAAATAATTAAATATCCTCATTACATAGTTCTGTATGAATGCGTTCCTCAGACAAAAATGAGCGTCATTCCCTTGGATCGTCATGCGCGTTCGATGAAGCTCAAGAATGGGAAATGGACAAGGTGAATGGTCAGGCCTTTGAGAGTTGTTCGGTAATCGTGGATCAGGTGTAAGGTCGTATTTTTAGCGAGATTTCAACGGGCCGAGGATCCATCGATCCTGACGTTCAGTTGGACTTTTTTTTTTCATTCTTTCATACCTAGCTTTCTTTCCTATGAAAATTGAAATTTCGTTGTATTTTCTTTGGATTATCGTGCCTTCGCACGCCATATTGCACTACATTAGGCGGAATTAGGCATGATTTAGTTCCTTAGGTTAGTTCCTTAATTAAATTTCATGCAAATTTCCCTGTGTCCGACTCTACATCCCCTGACGATGGAACGCATCCCCCAATCATCCTTCCAAAAGCACATAACTTTTCCTAGAATGAATTTGTGTTCCTCGCGCTGAAAAACAAAGGCAAGTCTCATAAAGACGAGCGAATCCTCTTATTCTTATCGCTCCTCGTTCTCCTTCCCCCTGCCTCCCGCACCCGGCCCTGCCAGGCTCTCGCCTTCTCGTTCCCTGCCTCCTCGCCTCCACGTTCACCGGGACAGGGATCCCCTCGCTTCTTCCATTCCTTTCGTAAAAATGTTGTCTCCAAAGTGAATGCGTCTTCATCTTCCACCAGTTGCGTCCACGCTGGTGGCATGTGGTACTTTCATTCATCAGATACCCTAAATGAAACATTGAAGCTGCCTTAGTATAACGTTTGCGCGATACTACAACTTTATTGTGTGTGATATGTGTAAGATTTGGAGAAAAACACTCCAATTTAAAGAAACGGAATTTAAAAATCAGCCCCACGAAAAATGGCACGACTTACGTGAAGAATCGGAAATTCGCCTTCGTCTCGTCATCTTAGACCTCAACGAGAAGACAAGAATTAATGCTAGACTCGATAGGGGACGCTGACATCGCTCACCGCAGTTCTTCTCAAATGAATTGGAATTCCAAGCGTTCGTGATGATATTGACAATAATTCTCCTGCACGGTAGGACTCTTCCCGCGTTCGAGGGAAATCCAATCATTATCATTCCCCGCCCATCCCTCATCTTCTTTCACCTGTCTCTTCCCAAGCCGGCACGGGAATATAAGGGGCCAGTTCTGCTCTTCCGTAATACTTCCATAGATTTCCCACATGTTCGTTGTCCCAAACTGTTCCTCTATCCCGTCCTTCACTCCCGAATCCCGACTGGCGGAATCGAGACCATGTACTATGAGAATACTATGGGATTGAATTCTTTGAAAATTAGTATAGAGCGAAACGGGGGGGGGGGGGGGGGGTTCTTACAGGACCGCACCGAATATTATTTTTTTTCAACATGTGGTTGTTCAACATTTCTCCGGTGTGTTTCCCTTGAATGCCACAGCATACCAGTTGATTCTGCGCAATCAGTAAAACAAATATTTAATGATGTAACAGCTAGGCTACATGATGCTAGCCGGCGTTTGCCCCTCTCCTCCGAATCGTCTGTCTGACCGCCTGAGGCTTTCACAGGTCGACTTCTCCCAACCCGACCGCATCGACTAGATTCAGTTTCCTGTATTCGAGACTTTCGATGCAGTATTCGCTCGCGCCATACTGGAAACTCGATTGTTGGCTGAGTGCACGCCCGATTCGCGGGCCCGGATGATCTAATCTTGCCGATCCACACTCCTCTCAGACCGCAAAATTATCCCTATTCTTCATGCGGTACTGCGGGCGTTCGAAATTCCAAAAACGAGCCTCGGTTGATTGCTGTGAGGTGGAGCTCGCTGAAAATTTATTTATAAGATATTTGGGTTCCCTGATAACGGAACGCTTCCTCTATTATGAATCCGAAGCGCAGATGTTTCGATTCGAAATGTTTCTCTCGAGGATCCTGTGAGCCAGAACTCACGGAAAGTCGTAATCAAGCGAAGTGAAGGAGGTTGGTGGAACGTGTCCAAAATTGTTTCACCGAGCGCAAAAAGACGGAGGCCGTGATCCTCTCGAAAAATCCAGTTGAGTGCACCATGCACTCAGTGCTGTCAATGAGGTCCTACAGGAACGGATGGAGATGTTCAAGTACATTCGGATCTGGTTCTCGAGTGACGGGCGATATGCAGTAGAACCGAGGTCGAGAACCACATCTTCAAGGTTTCAGCTGGTTTGGCGAACCGCGGTAGACAGGTCGGAAGTTTGTCGAGAAGCGAACACTCAGTATTTCAGAGTGTTCAACTCCCCTCATGAACGTGAACATTGGGTACTGATCGATAGAACCGGATCATACATCCAGCGGGCAATGAAAAATCTTTCCCAGTTAAAAATTGATGCACTGTTTATTCCAAATGTTTATTGTTCTAAGTCTTGTGATGCAGGTAGAAAAAGAGAAGACGGCAAACCATAGACGAGAGAAGACTCTTCCGTCTGCCATCACTTGCGTATCTAACAGACAAGGTCAACGGGGAAATTCGAAAGAATGGTCCTCGTTGCCTGGCAATCTTCGAGTCACAGATCGATCTCGATTCATCCCAGCTCCGCTTACGTCGAGATCAAGCGTCCGAAATGGGTAACTACTGCTGCTGTTGCCCACGATCAGAAGAGGATTCGGATCGAGGCGATGCCTCCCGTGAGTCCATCCGACATTGTCAGTAGTCGGGCGCCTCCACAGGATCCAAATGAAATTGTGACGTGTCTTTCCTTTGGAGTTGCATTGCTTTTCGATCCAAAATATATTCTCATGTCCCCTCCATGAGCCGAATGGAATGAATGTTTTCGTCTAGATATGGAAGCAGGGTCGTCAGCTGTCGACGGGGAAAACCCTGCATGGCCCACATCAAAAGGCCACTCCCTCAAGAAGAGGTTCATGCCGAGCCTTTTTAAGAAGAAAAGCGCCTCGTCGGAAAGAGTGGGGATGGGGCTCATCTCCGAGCAGCCGCTCCCATTCAAGAAGAGAGAGAAAGTCCATGCTACACCCTCTCCCCCCCGCACCGATTCCGCCGATCTTCCTGGTTCCTCCCGTGATGCCCGTGGGGCAGAAGGAGATCGGGCCGAGGCAGATGCCTCCCCCCCGTTTCCTGCCTCCTTCGACCACGAAGCAGCCGCACGTCCCGAAGAGAGCGTCTTCACACCGTCCATCTCCTTGTCCGACGACAAGCGTGTGTTTTCCTGGAAGAGGCACCTGGCTTTGCCCATGAAACCCAGTGTGTTTTCCACTTCATCCATCCTGCTCAACGAATCGGGTGGGATCGTAGCAGGAACCATTACGATTCCGACTCGATAGGTGGGCGTCTCCCGGTCGTGGGTGTGGGTGAGATGATGTTCACATCCAGGCCTGGTGTGCTTGCGTTCGGGGTGAGATTGCTTGACCCCCCAATACCATCGAGTCGTGTCATGTAAGTGATTCATCGACTCAGGATGTTCACACTTTTGATTCCAAGTTCGATGGTTTCTCTAACTCACGGAATGCCTTGAAGGGAGTTGGAGGAATATATGGTGAATCTGAGTCTCCTTCCCCCTCGTGTGGAGGTCTCCTGCAAATCATCGGCGATGCTCGTGTCCATCTTCTTGCCTCGTGAGTCAAATGCACTATTTCATGATTCGCGCTTGTCTCCCCCGATTCATCATTGTAGTTGACGAAAACATCCTCTCCCACTGTCGTTGATTGTAACTTAGAAATTCAGAACGTCATATTCTGGAGAATTTCACACCTGATTTCACACTTGGTTTCTTACCTTGTCTCCAGAACGCTCCTGGCTTCTGCCGCCCGAGCTGGCCGTCGCTGCGTTCTTCGAGGACGACTGCATGATGCTGAATATGCAACACCGTGTCGGATCTGGAACGGAGGAGACCAAGAAAATCTGTCGCCGCTACCATCATCCAGTGTTGCCCATCAAAGTCACCGTGCTGGAAAGTCCTGGCCGCACTGCGATGGCGATGTCGGTGGATTATGATGCTGTAGATGATCTCTTCCCGAGTCTCAGCCGCTACCTCGGTTCGGGGACGACAGGAAAAAAAAGAAATGAGCACATGGAGGATGAGGAAGGAGGATGCCTCATTCAAGACCTCATCTGATGTGGAAGATGGTTTCCTGGCATGAATGGTTTTTTATATGTGGAATCCGAATGAATGATCCTTTTCTATCGGGACACCAGCACGATGAGTGAAATAATTAAATATTCTCATTACGTTTTTCTGTCTGAATACGTTCCTCAGACACAAATAAGCGTCATCCCCTTGGATCGTCATGCGTGTTCGAAGAAGCTCAAGAATGGGAAAAGGACATGGGCCTTTCAGAGTTATTTGGTAATCGTGGATCAGGTTGAAGGTCGTCCGTTAGCGAGATTCCAACAGGCCGAGGATCCTTGGGTTGTGGAGATCGCTGAATTTCGCTTTTCGGAAATGTCAATTTCGTTCCGGTATTATTTTTTCTCTCCCTCTGAGTAGCTGCTCCTCGGAATTTTTCGGCGGAACAAACCAGAGGAATTATATTGACTCGTAGATGACGGAAACACCCATATTCGCCCACACCAAAGATATTCAAGAGAGAACCTTCTGCAGGCAAAGTCATTGCGTTTTTCCTTTTGGGACTTTTTTGGGGTCATCCACTTTCGTTTCCTGCCTCTTGGAGTAAAGGTAAATGCTGACTATTTCTCCACTCTACTGAAAGAACGTATGCGAACTTCCATTCCCAAGAAGAGGTCAGGTTTACTGGATAAAGCAGTTATTTTTCGACAAGACAGTGCTCGGCACCACGTACAACCCAAAAATACAGGTAGAAAGCTAGTTCTTGATTAAATGGGCTGGGAGTTGCTTCCACACCGCCCGTTCAGTCCAGATTTGGCTCCCAGCGATTTCCATCTCTTTGCGCCATCGAAGGAGTCGATGGGAGGCCTCAGGACCGGGACTTTGGACACGGGACATCGACGGGCATCCATAGGGATGCCCGAGCATGCTGAGGACCATGCGTCCAGGAAGGGAAGGGAGAGACCGGAGATACGCCGTCGAGAAGTGGAGGATGATGTGCGAAGAGCCGGAAAGTTCTTTGCAGGATACCTAAGGGATGGATTAGGGAATGATGGTGTATTATATGTATCTCAAAGCACTAAAATTTCAAGTCCGCTCGGGGAATCAGACCTTGACCTAGATTACCCTTACAGTCCTGAATTAAACCCACTATCAGCAAGAAATCCTTCTTGCTTTTTACAGGTCTTTTTTTCTTTAGTGATTCCTTCTTCTCTTGTTTTGTATGTCGGTTTTATATTTTCTACAGGTTTACCATAACATACTTAAAATATTGAATAGCACATGATGCATTTAATTACAAAACTGACAGGTGAAAGAAGGCATCTGATGGAACTGAATCACGCCTAATTGCGCCTAATGTAGCGTAAAATGGTGTGCGAAGGCACGATAATCCAACGAAATTACAAATAACAACGAAATTTCAATTTTCATAGGAAAGAAAGCTAGGTCTGAAAGCGTGAAACAAAAAAATAAGCCTAACAGGAAATCAGGATCGATGGATCCTCGGCCCGTTGGAATCTCGCTAAAAGACGACCTTAAACCTGATCCACTATTACCGAACAACTCTCAAAGGCCTGATCATTCACCTTGTCCTTTTCCCTTTCTTGAGCTTCATCGAACGCGCATGTTGATCCAAGGGGTTAATGACGCTTATTTGTGTCTGAGGAACGTATTCAGACCGAAACACGTAATGAGAATATTTAATTATTTCACTCATCGTGCTGGTGTCCCGATAGAAAAGGATCATTCATTCGGATTCCACATATAAAAAATCATTCATGCGAGGAAACCATCTTCCACATTAGATGAGCTCTTGAATGAGGCATCCTCCTTCCTCATCCTCCATGTGATCATTTCTTCCTTTTCCTGTTTTCGCCGAACCAAGGTAGCGGCTGAGACTCGGGAAGAGATTATCTACAGCATCGTAATCCACCGACATCGCCATCGCAGTGCGGCCACGACTTTCCAGCACGGTGACTTTGATGGGCAATACTGGATGATGGTAGCGGCGACAGATTTTCTTGGTCTCCTCCGTTCCAGATCCGACACGGTGTTGCATATTCAGCATCATGCAGTCTTCCTCGAAGAACGCAGCAACGGCTAGCTCGGGCGGCAGAAACCAGGAGCGTTCTGGAGACAAGGTAAGAAACCAAGTGTGAAATCAGGTGTGAAATTCTGCAGAATATGAGGTTCTGAAATTCTAAGTTGCAATCAACGGCAATGGGAGAGGATGTTTCGTCCGCTGCAATGGATACAAGCGTGAATCACGAAAGAGACTCACGAGGCAAGAAGATGGACACGAGCATCGCCGATGATTTGCAGGAGACCTCCACACGAGGGGGAAGGAGACTGAGATTCACCATATATTCCTCCAACTCCCTTGAAGGCATTCCGTGAGTTAGAGAAACCATTGAACTTGGAATCACAAGAGTGAACATCCTGAGTCGATGAATCACTTACATGACACGATTCGATGGAAGCGGGGGGTGAAGCAATCTCACCCCGAACGCAAGCACACCAGGCCTGGATGTGAACCTCATCTCACCCACACCCACGACCGGGAGACGCCCACCTATCGAGTCGGAATCGTTATGGTTCCTTCGACGATCCCACCCGATTCGATGAATAGGATGGATGAAGTAGAAAACACACTGGGTTTCATGGGCAAAGCCAGGTGCCTCTTCCAGGAAAACACACGCTTGTCGTCGGACAAGGAGATGGACGGTGTGAAGACGCTCTCTTCTGGACATGCGGCTGCTTCGTGGTCGAAGGAGGCAGGAAACGGGGGGGAGGCATCTGCCTCGGCCCGATCTCCTTTTGCCCCACGGGCATCACGGGAGGAACCAGGAAGATCGGCGGAATCGGCGCGGGGGGGAGAAGGTGTAGCATGGACTTTCTCTCTCTTCTTGAATGGGAGCGGCTGCTCGGAGATGAGCCCCATCCCCACTCTTTCCGACGAGGCGCGTTTCTTCTTAAAAAGGCTCGGCAGGAACCTCTTCTTGAGGGAGTGGAGAGGAACCAGGAAGATCGGCGGAATCGGTGCGGGGGGGAGAGGGTGTAGCATGGACTTTCTCTCTCTTCTTGAATGGGAGCGGCTGCTCGGAGATGAGCCCCATCCCCACTCTTTCCGACGAGGCGCATTTCTTCTTAAAAATGCTCGGCAGGAACCTCTTCTTGAGGGAGTGGCCTTTGGATGTGGGCCATGCAGGGTTTTCCCCGTCGACAGCTGACGACCCTGCTTCCATATCTAGACGATTAACATTCATTCCAATTCGGCTCATGGAGGGGACATGAGAATATGTTTTGGATCGAAAAGCAATGCAACTCCAAAGGAAAGACGCGTCTCGATTTTATTTGGATCCGGTGGAGGCGCCCGACTACCGACAATGTAGGATGGACTCACGGGAGGCATCGCCTCGATCCGAATCCTCTTCTGATCGTGGGCAACAGCAGCAATAGTTACCCATTTCGGACGATTGATCTCGCCGTAAGCGGCGCTGGATGAATCGAGATGGATCTGTGACTCGACGATTGCCAGGCAACGAGGAGCATTCTTTCAAATTCCCCTTGATGTTGTCGGTACTCGTAATATATGCAAGTGATGGGCGACTCGTGAGGCATCTCTCGTCTATTGCTTGCTGTCTTCTCTTTTCCCACCTGCTACACAAGATTTAGGACAATAAATATATTTGGAATAAACAGTGCATCACTTTTAAATGGGGAAATATTTTTTCCTTTCCCTCTGTATGTATGATCCGGATCGATCGGTCACTATTCAAAGTTCACGTCCATGAGGGGAGGTGAACACTATCCAATAATGAGAGTTCTCTTCTCTACAAACTTCCAATCGGTCAACCTCGGTTCGCCAAGGTTAAGGTTCCCTCAGAACTTCAAAAACCTTGAAGATGCGGTTTTTTGATCTACTGCTGTCCTTCGTCGTTCTCCGTTCCATCTGAAGGATGATTCTTGATGTGTCTCTTGTGGAGACACGAATCAAAGAACTCCCTGGAATGGCGATCAGCTGCCGCACAATATATTTTTATGGTGATATTTTTCACCCCCTCTTCGATGCATGATAACAGTTCATGTCTGTTCATTGGATAAGCCTTCCTATGCCCCTGAAAGAATGAAAACTAAAACATAGTTTCCGGGCGTATGATTGGTTTAAATGATGGTTTATATCTAATCTCTCCTTAATTGTGAAATACATTTTAGATTTGCTGTGTACAGGTACCTTGATGAGATGAAAAATCTCTTCAATGGTGTTCAAGAAGGGGGAATATGGTGGCAGAAGCAACAGCGAATGACCGCAGCTTTCAAAAGGACACTTTTGTCCATTCCAATAACTTTTGGCTCCTCAAGCATTTTCAGGAGATTCTCCAAGAATTCCAGGAAAATGTTCGTGTCCACAGGCCGTTCAGAGATGGTGTCATGTGAAAAAAAAATCGACATTAATTGAAACCGCAACCCCCCAAGCAGTGTAATGCTGGCAATTTTCAGAGTCAAAGCTAGCTACTATCAATATTAATTTGTACTCAAATCAAGTAGTTGAAATTATAATGCTCTCACCGTCCCACAAGATTTCTTCCAAATTTCCTGCGAATGCGCAAGTTGTGTGGGGATTCGTCCACGTAAACGAAATTCGCTCCCTCTGCCACTTCCAGCAGTTCATGTTCCACAACGTACCAGTAACTGAAAATTGATTGATAATGATAATATTATCGGGAATTTAAATTTAAGCCTCGGACGAACTATCCTTTCCTCTTAAAAGTCGAGTAACACCTTGCATTTTTATGACAAGACAATTTTTGAATCACACCGTTTGTCTAGCACTGCCGGTTTGTTCCTTGAAGTAGGGATCTTGCCCAAAACGTTGACAGTGACTTTATGTCTCCTAAGTATGGCACATCCTCACACACAGGGTCCACAGGGTCCTGTGACGTCATTTTCGATGAGCTGCTTTTTTCGTTTTTTCGATCGGTTGAAGGTCGTCAGTTAGCGAGATTCCAACAGGCCGAGAATCCTTGTGTTGTGGAGATCGTTGAATTTCGCTTTTGGGAGATGTTAATTTCGTTACGGTATTTTTTTTTCACTTCCTCTGAATAGCTGCTCCAGGGAAATTTTCGGCGGAAACAACCAGAGGAATAACATTGACTCGTAGATGACGGAAAGTGGCCTTTTGATTTTTTTGCGACGCATCATTTCGCCTTGAAAAATGAAATGAAGTGTCGTTCCATTAGGCTTAGAGAACTCGCTCCGGTTCCGTGTTCTAGTGTTGTTGGATACCGTGGCGCAATTATGCCAGATTCAAGACTGCTTCAACCATTGTATCTCTCTCTAATACTTGGCTTTTTTTCTTCAATATATGACATACTCTTTCTTAAAGAAATGAATTCCCTACTTCATAATCCTTCCCCGGGTCTCTACTTCCCCCTGGCTCTCGCGCCTGGCCCTGCAAAGCCTTCATCTGATTTAGAACTTGCCTATGCTAGAGAGTGCCGCTAGGTGTAATTTCCGCTTTAACATTATCATAAAGTTTACATTTTCATCATGGTTAGTAATGGTAAGTATGGCACCCCGTAGGAAAGTTGGTGATAGTCTCAAGAGTGAATACATGGAAGACTTCTTGGAAAATGGTTCATTTTCAGTCTTGTCAAGTGATGATAGTGACATTAGGAATTTGGCTGAACAGTTTGCTGCTGGTGATCAGTCATCTGATTGTGAAAGTGATGGAAAGGAAGATGAGACTGATCCCTCAACAAGTGCTCCAAACAATTTGCATTCAAAGCGACGTATCAAGAATAGTGATTTTGTGTTTGGTAACAGTGCGCCAAATCCACAAAAATTGGTGTTTATTGGAAATCCTGGACTGAGAATAGACATGCATGATCAGATGATTCAGATCTGGTTCTCGAGTGACGTGCGATATGACACACCCACGACCGGGAGACGCCCACCTATCGAGTCGGAATCGTTATGGTTCCTTCTACGATCCCACCCGATTCGATGAGTAGGATGGATGCAGTGGAAAACACACTGGGTTTCATGGGCAAAGCCAAGTGCCTCTGCCAGGAAAACACACGCTCGTCGTCGGACAAGGAGATGGACGGTGTGAAGACGCTTTCTTCTGGACATGCGGCTGCTTCGTGGTCGAAGGAGGCAGAAAACGGGGGGGAGGCATCTGGCTCGGCCCGATCTCCTTCTGCCCCATGTGCATCACGGGAGGAACCAGGAAGATCAGCGGAATCGGTGCGGGGGGGAGAGGGTGTAGCATGGACTTTCTTCTTGAATGGGAGCGGCTGCTCGATGAGCCCCATCCCCACTCTTTCCAACGAGGCGCATTTCTTCTTAAAAATGCTCGGCAGGAACCTCTTCTTGAGGGAGTGGCCTTTGGATGTGGGCCATGCAGGGTTTTCCCCGTCGACAGCTGAC